GAGGACGGAGCATTGTTCCCACAGGACCGATCGCTGATGGCCAATCGTTCCTTCCTACTTTGCCAAAGGTGGCTCAAAAATGTCTTCCCTAGTCTGTCTATCGGGGGGGGGGGGGACAAAAACAAAAAAAAAACGCGTTGTATCCGTGGTGGTTCCGACAAGAGTTGACGTTGTTTCATTGTTCTGGCTGGACACTCCAGCGCGGTCGATGAAGAGAAAAGTTACATAAATCTTGAAAAAACAGCGACGGAGTACCATATGCATGAGATAGTAGACAACACGAGAGCTACAACTAACACGCTGCTGTGTGTTGACGGGGAGAAGCACCAAATGTTGCGCCGCTGTCATTTCATCGCTCATTTTTCAATCGCCGCTTTTATCCTTGGAAACATTCTTCCTCGCACGTACTTGTGCTTTCGCACAAACGCAATCCGAAACGAACGCGCGTCCGAAGTTGAGGCAGCCATGGTCACCACGTGCAGTGTTCTTCTGTTACTGCTGCGGTAATTTATCTGTCTTTAATTCGGAGAGCAGCATGGCCCCCCCCATGACGCCCCCCCCCATGACGCCCCCCCCCATGACGCCCCCCCCCCCGACGGGGTCCCAGATCATGGCCTTTAGCCTTTTAGGCGCGTTTTGTGTGTTCAACCGCATTGAGACTGACATACTTTCATTGGCCAGTCGGTAACATGGTCGGTGCTAAAAACAAAAAAAAAACATACACGCTTGTCGGTAGAACCATTACACTTTGAATAGAAAGTATTCGCGTGTTCTATTATCCCGCTTCAAGACTGACGCCTTTTCTTTTCATCGGTCAGCCGGTTAGCGCGGCCAAAGCCAATTAAGAAAACACACACGCACACGCACGCACGCAGCAAAAATGTTGGGTGTCTCACCGCCTCATCCGCATGCTGTGTGCCCCCGCGGTGTCAACAGGGCACGCGTGCGAGGAGACGTAGAGGCAGCCCCGGTGCCTCATCGCCACCATGAGAGAATGCCTGTGGTTGGTCAAAAGCCCGGGGGTTGGAGCGATGAGCGATGAGCGCCCGCGCGGCGGTGTCGCGTTCGGTGCGCACCTGCGCAGTAGGCTCACTCTGAAAGAGCGACGGCTTTCATTTGCACAGACTGCCAACACCCGGAGTTGCCCCCGCTTCCCCATCCCGGCCGCCGATACCCCGAACATTGCCTTCCTCTCAAACCGGACCAGGACATCGGCAACACACACACCGAAAACACACGTTTCGCTTGTTGCCCTCCCCCCCACACACACCATCTTGGCTTTGTAGGGATGCGAGGTCAATGGTCTAACGACTACGGCATGCACGACTATGAGTACACCCCCCCACCACCACAATCTTTGAGGCTGTCGCTCTAGCGCCGCGGTCAACGGTACGCAGGGAAACCAACACGCATGGAGAGAGAGCACGCGAGCACAAGGCACAGACGAAAATGCTCCTACAATTGTACACTTACCTCCTCTCCGACATGCCGCTAGACGCGATGGGTTCCCAGCACGGCGCCTGCGCCTGTGCGTAGGGACCGACCAGGAGCAGGGTCGGGAAAAACATTGGCAAGAGGCAAAAAAACACGCCTTCCATCAACGGTGAACGAAAAAAACAGAAGGAAAATCTATTCGTCGAACAGACAGCAACAAAAGTGAGGTTTTATTGGTGTAACGGTCGACTGGTACCCTCGTTATTGTTCCGAAACCTGGGGGTCAAAACACGCCTTCCATCAGCGGCGAAGAAAAACAATTCTCGGGAGGCATGGAGAAGGAGAAGCAGGCAAGACAATGGCTATGGTTGACGAACGACGTTTGCCCAAATTATCGCGGCCCGGACCTCAAAGTCCGTCGTCCGAATGGATGCCTCACTCGAACGGAAGAATGCTTGGAAGCAACCACTACCATTGACACGACACCACGAAAGAAAGCAACGTTGCAGCAAAAGTAACGAAACGGCCATTCAGCTGCCGCCACCTGCCTACCATTTTCTGCATGGGCAGGGCCAGTTCTGCGGCCCTACTTCAGGGATTGACAAAGGACTATCGAGCCGTACGAAAACTGTGTGTACATATATAATTCCCATGTTTCGTTTCACAGAAGAGGATTTTTTGTTTGGCAAGACACTCACCGAACAAAACCGGCAACAAAACAGTAGAATACCGCCAGAGACCTACTACTGCAGTAGTCTCGGGGGTTTTCTCCTAATCGCACCAAACCCTCCGAACCACAAAGCCCCCGCTACCTCCGCCGACACCGCCCCAATACCTGCTGCAACGACGACGGTGACGCCGGGTTCCGGCTTCTCGCCCTCGTCGGAGTCCCAAGCATCGACAACGCCGACGACGTCGTGTTGGCACGCGAGCGCGAACGAGCGGGGGTCCCGGGCTGAGAAACATCACCCCCCCGCGCGACGGGGGGTTGCGGCTCCGCCGGTAGCGAGCCGAAATCGACCGTGTCTTCTCCTCCGTCCGCCAGCGTGAAGCGAAGCTCTTCCTTCGCTGCTGCTGCCGCGGTGGTGGTCATGCCGCCGCTGCGGCGTATGGTGAGCGCCAGGGCCTCCCCGCAGCGGTTGCGCATGCGGAAAGGCTGCCTGATTCGAGCGCCGGTGGTGACGCGGTCCTGAAAGAGCAAGGGAAGAACGAGAGAGACACACACACACAGAGACACACACAAAGAGAGAGACACACAGACACACAGACAGACAGACAGACAGACAGACAGACAGGCAAAGCGTGCGGAAGAAACATATATCAAACGGGGGTTGTCATCGCATAACGTAGCTGCTGTATTTCATTTTTTTTGCGGGAAGGACATGTAAAAATTGAGGGGTGTTTGTCGTCAGCACTAGACTATACATCCAGAGGCTGTGTGAAGTGGTCGGTGGCCCAAGTCTCTTCTTCCGCAGCAACGCCGATTGACCAAGACAGATAGGTGTTGCTGCCAGGCACCCTCGAAAGTGGTTGACAGCCAGCTTTTTCTGGCCGACTCACACCAACATGAGTGTTTCTCTTCGTTTCTTTTCGCATCTGCTCAAAGGCCGTCTACCATTTTTCCTGACCGACTCATACCAACATGAACGTGATTTTCTTTTATCTTCTCATCTGTTATGGCGGGCCGCTCGCCTCGTCTGACTACCCTTTGCCTCCGGGGCTCGAGAGTACTAGTTCCGGGCCAAGGCACATACAATTCCTCTGCCGCGCTCACCGTCAACTTTTACGGCAAGACGGGTTCAGTCAGCCTTCCCGTACGTTTAGTCACCAACAAGCGCTTTCCACGACTATAATACCTACCATGTGCGGAACGCTCTGAACACGCCTCGCCGATAATCGAACTCCCGACCTAACCTTCGAGGCTATTGTACCACCTAGAGGGGTGACCGGCTTACCGGCTGGCACTAACCGATAACCCCCCCCCTCCCGGACTGAATAAGCTAGTGGTCCTCATTTATTTTCATTTTATTAGTTCCGTCCCAGTCCCAAAGCACGGGAATAACTAGCAAGGGGTGTCGTGTTCGTAAAAAACACATACCCCCCCCCCCCCCCCCCCCCCCCCCCCCTTGCCTTTTTTTCCCTCCGGGGTTGGGTTTTTCTCCTTTTGGC